CGAGTCACCCCCTCCCTCTTTCATAGCTGTTCCACTAATGTGTCCCTTCAATAGATGATGGTCAATCGTGTCATTGAACTTTATCGGACCTGCTATCGCTTGACCCACTCTTACGTCGCCACTAAAATTCTCCCAACTTTCGGTGGGAGAGGGGAGGGGGTTAAATAATATTACTTAAACTAAAAGAGCCGATTCCGACACACATTTGTGTCTCTTACAGTTTATTCTACCGACTACATTATCCTTTAGCTGAGAAAATTCCACCACACGGTAGACGAGAGAACCCCTGATCGATTTACTAAGCGAGCGAGTGGTCCTTTCTGGCTTTCTCGTGGCTTCGTTCTTTGTGGAATATGCCTATTGGGCACCCCCATAGTTCCCCCAGTAATTTTTACTATTCTACTTGGAAAGCTGGGCGAGGCAGCAGCACCCGGACCTTCCCACAATCACTTGTAACAACCTGAAGTGGAGCGATAGGCGTTTCCTATATTTCGCGCTCTAGCGAAATCCATCAATCGCAACTGTCGTATGATAAAGCGTGGAAGAACATCGGGAACGCGTCGTGGATTCCGTTTCACCCACTCACTTGCTTCCGTCGTTCTCCGAAAAGGCTTTCATAATGTTCCCAGGGTCATTAGCTCCGCTTTCGCTATACGCTCTCTCCCTTTCCTCGAGAATATCGCCTTCCCCTCTTCGAAATGTTCTCTAAGTTTTTCAGGCATGAGGTTGTTTCTCTTGCTTCTACTTCCGGTGGTGATCACCACTATGAAGTACCCTACAGCACCTGGCTATTATCCACCCGAAGAAATGAGGACCGATACGCCCGCTGCTGTTATGAATCCATATCAATCAATGTCTGAACCATCTGGCATGGACGATTATCAGTTCTACTATGAAAAAGTGCCAAAGCCGGGTGTATCGCTACCTGGACCGAAATCAGGTGAGAACAAGAGACTTTCTTGATGAATACCTGCAGCAGATGATTAATTATAGTTTTTGCTCTAAACCACCGCCATTCGCTCTTTCTGAAAAAAGCCAATTGCGTAAGAAAACGTTCGCTTGAAAATGAAAATTCAGTGAAATATAAGTGGGCGTTAATCAAGAAAAATAGGAAATATGTCGAAAAAAAAACCAGTACTTGTTCCGACGACATCTCTGACTGAATGTTGTTTTTTTTTTCTCGGATTAACGAGGTTTTTTGTGTTTCCCGCATCTAGATGTGTCGTAAATGCAGACTTAGCAACTGAATGAGGCATCAAAAAGCGTACGTGATATCGATTTTTTGAGGCCGTCACAACGTGTATTACTAAGCTTTCCAAGTAGCAGTAGCATACGTGGCGGTTACTTCCAAAGAAATAACCATCACGTATGCTTATTTTCATTATTGATTAATTGATTTATCTATTTGCACGTCCGATATCCAAGAATATGATGTGTTAAGTGAAAACAGGTGATAATCAAGCTCATCCAGAATACAAAAAAAGGTAGAGGTTTCCTGTAAGAAGAAAACTGGTTGGCTTATAAAAAACGTAGGCACAATGTGGCTCGAGGGCCAGTCGCCGCGCGCAATCTCTGCGTTTTTCTGTGTAAGCATTTCCTCTTCGCTAAATCGGAACTACGCCTCGGCAGGGGAGGAGGAACTCCAGGATCATAAGCAATTTTCATCTTTCCCAAAGTTCCTGCCCACTCCAGGTTTAGTACTACAGGCAGGCGGACGAATCAGAGATCCCCCCCCCCCCGCTCGCGCGACGAGCCCCCCTCGACCAAAACGTATACTGATTACCTACACGGGGCGGAGCAGCTTCGGGGCGGTGCCATTGTTGGGTTCGGAACCTAACTGCACTGCAATAAGCGCATATTTGGCGCTGGAACGTTAGACCCTGCTTTTTCTGCCGTTACCAACCACATCTAGTACGATTCATACAAAAAGCGGTCCCAAACCCCCGAGCAGGGTCGGTCCTATCGTAGGTACCTTTTGCAAAATTTTTACACGACCCCTCCTCTACAACCACTTCTTTGTCACTCAGAAAAAAAACACCGGCAAGCGGGGGGGACGGTATATACGCACGCTAACGCTGAAACGGCGAGTTTTGCTCTCATCTTAAACCAAACATCCCATGGTAAATTTCCACGCTAGCCCGACACAAGTAATGACCCCCCCATAACTCCGTGTTTAGTCTTGTACAACAAGTAGTTGCCGCCCCCAAGCGCGCTGAGGGGTCTAGCTTACCGTAGACGGTCAATCACGTCATCAAAACCGCATCGCCCACAATTCAACGTGATTACTGCCTTTAAAGTTACATGAAATCATAATTGTGTGGATCTGTATATAAAATGAGCTGCATAACAGAGTGGTTTGGGGGACCATTCCTACGCGGCCTGGTAAGGCTTAGTCCAAGGGGCACTTACTATTTCGTCGCCAAGTGGCAGTTTCAAAATACTCGCCATCGGCGGACTAAGCCTTGGAGGAGCAGACGAACAGAGCGCCGTGCCGCCGCGTGGTCCCCTCCCCAACCTACTTACAAGGACTTACAATTAGCGCCAAAATGAGTGTAAATTCTCAAGCACTTCATTATTTTTTTTCTTTCAGGCGGACCTGCTCAAAATCCAAATCCGGCCAGTGGAAAAATTCCGCTCGGGGAACCAAGTCCGGCCAGTGGACCGATTCCGCTTCCCAATCCGAATGGGCCAGTGGACCGATTCCGCTTCCCAATCCGAATGGGGCCAGTGGACCGATTCCGCTTCTCAATCCGAATCCAGCCAGTGGACCGATTCCGCCTGCCGATCCATATCCAAAAAATCCAGATAGAAGTGAAGAGTGCTGAAAACTTCCCACCTGATATCTATGAGAGCACCTACAGCGAAGTTCCCAGCACAAATCTTCCCACTGACCCTAACCAAACGAACAATCTAGAGCCTCTCCCTGGAAACACCCACTACCAAGTCCCCAGTACAAATAATTACCCCACTAACAGTCCTCAGAAGAACAACTTTGAAACGAATCCTCTCAATCCCACAACCAGTGGTCCCTCCTCGCCTGGAGGATCTCCCTATGATGAAGGACCATCTGGTGGTGATGTTCATCCAGGGAGCAAATCTCCCACAACGAACGACAGCTCTCCACCGGGAGGATCTCCCTATGATGAAGGACCATCTGGTGGTGATGTTCATCCAGGGAGCAAATCTCCCACAACGAACGACAGCTCTCCACCGGGAGGATCTCCCTATGACCGAGGATCGTCGAATGGGCCTGTTCCGCCAGTGCCACCTCCACCATCACCACGAACTGCAAGTCTTGATCACGAATACAACGGTTGGACTCCAATTCCGAGAAGACCTTCAACGGAGCCGTTCGCAAGCGATACTGGAAGTGGAGTGAGTATTTGAGTAACCTCTTTGATTCAGATTCTTCAGAGTGGAAAACAGAAAAAAATTACATGGAGAATTTTGACCAAAAGATGGTAAACTCCAAAACACTAGGGAGAATTTGTGTTTATTTATTGATTTATCTGTTGAGATAAGCCGTTTAGACAGAGTGAGCACCCGAAGTAAGCGTAAATTACGATGTTCCTGCCGTAGTCACGTACAATGCGCGTCGCAATAGTTGGCGGGTTGGCTCGACATATTCTCTCTCCTTTGAGAGAGCGCAGAGAAAACGAATAGTGGGAGGCGAGCACGCACTTCGCGCGTCAATGCGTCGCGCATTGTACGTGACTACAGCAGAACATTATAATTCACGCTTACTTCGGGTGCTCGCTCTGTCTAAACGGCTTAAGTCTATCGTTTGACGCGCAAAATGACCCGCTTTACACACAGGAATAGAGCAATTTTTTAAATGTCGAATGCACCTGAATTCAAAAGAAACCTTTATTTTTTATTCGAAATCATAAATGGGTCTCATCCGGTAAGAGGGGGCATTGCGGTGCACGGTCTGCTCTAATGCCAATTTGGCTCAAGGAGTCCTTTAAAGTTACGAGCTGCTATCAGCTTTTTTCCTATGTTATTTCTTCAGGTGTTTTGTGTAATGTATGTATTCTTGTACTAGATGACATTAACGTCTACGAGAAGTGAAATTCACCTAGTTAGCAGGTCAGGACTAAGCCCAGGAGGGGGAGGAAGTCCCCCCCGGGGAAAGCCAAGATTGCTCACGGACCCGGGGACTCCTTCCCTTCTAGGGCTTAGTCCTGAACGTCTACAATAAAATAATGTGCTTTCCATGGTTTGAAATGCTCTAGATCGCTATGCCCCCCCCCCCTTACTGGATGAGACCCCATGACCCGCCAAGCATAGGTCACTTGTCGCTCTGGCCCTGTTCACCTTATTCGCCTGGTTCTTGTTTTTATCAAAATAAGTTGTAAAAATAACTTGTCGCTTGCTTTCCATTTCCTCGAATGTTCTGCAGTGTCCATACCAGGTGGAACATAAGCGTTGGGGTAAAAAAGGGTAAATTAAGACTTGCTGCTGCTGCTTGCTGGTAAAAACTTGGGAAGGATCAATTTATCTCCCGCAGAGATACGATAACAAATGGTACACATTGTATAAACCATAGATTGTAGGAAAATGTCGACTCCCGTGTAGCGCCCGTTGATCATCAAAGACTCAAGTCAGCTCCAGTAGTGTCCCTATTCGTCCATGTTGCGTGCCAGAGTACAATAACGCAGGGTACCCGACAAGAGGCCTGTCGCGCGTCGAAAAGTCAAAGACGCGGATCAGTCAGTGAACGAGTTGCAGCTCGTACTGTAGCGATAAGTCATATAAAATGTGCTATAGTGTAGTATGGTGTGCCATGCGCGCTGTGTGACTCGTCGCCTTGAGCTGCCTGCGTCTCCGCCTTCTCGGCGCGTGACGGGCCTCTTGTCAGGTACCCCAGCAGAGCATCCTAATCGGGAGGAGAGTTTCACTTTTTTTTGGACCACGCTGGAACCTGTCGTATCTGCGAAGAGTCCAGGTTTCTGAGGCGACCTTCTTGCCGGATTGGAGGGTCTAAACCTCGACCTTACCTCAAAAAAGCCAATGCGCCCCCTCCCGTTGAAGAGGCGCAAGGCCACTGTTGATCCGTGCATGGGGATCTCAGGTCGCACGCCGTGTATGCCTCTATTGTTAGTCCATTTTCCGCGGTTGTTCCTTATTTCTGCACTTTGACCAGCTTTACCTTGATTTCCAATTTCTCTTGTAACCCCTCTTTTGAAGAGGATTCCACGACAAGGCCGAAGGTCGTGGAGGGGGAGGGACTTCACTAATGGAAAACAGGCGACCCTCTTGAGGATCTGCACTGACTACGCAGGTCCTCCGACCATGCCCTGGCTAACCTAACATGGTCGTCGCCAGCTTCTAATCGTTTAGCAGGGAGAGCGATAGTATTAACACATTGCGTACCGCGTGCACCACCATGTGGCGCACGATTTCACGCGAAAAAGCTCAGTTTTATTTCGTTCGTATTTCTATTTGATCACTTGATATTTTTCAAATGCCTTAGAACTGTTTGTACTCATTTTCAGACCTGAAAAGCAACGGTGTTATCAGTGATGAGAGCATTGATAAATTAATGATGCTACATTTTTGAAAAACACCAAAAAAGATGCCGTGATTTTCCAATGGGCGGTCCGCAATGTGTTAAAGAGAACAGCACCGATGACAGTTGCATCAGTGCGGAATTCAACGAGCAGAAGTCCCATTTCTGGTTCTGTCCGTTCTCATGGTTTTTATCAACATCCTGCCTAACCTGACGCACCTCACCCTAATTATTATTCTAATGAGGTGCCTTCCTAGACTCGCGCCTTCTAAAGTGTGGAAAGCGGAGTTAGGTTAATTATAGTATGAGTTCAACTGCGGCGAAACTATCGCAACATTCGCCGCGGAAACCACAGCACCTGCCTGGTCATTCATGTGGTTGCATATGCTTTCCCGCCTCTACCTCCTATGAATGTCCTGATCACTACAATAATAGGTTCTCCTAAACAGTGATCATTACAGTAATAGGTCTCCCACAAAATCACGCGTGGCCTGACAGTTTCCTACACCTTGTAAAGCATCACAATGAGGGATCAGCTTAGAAATTTTCGATCGAGCGCGGAGACAATCTCTTGGCTCCCAGTGTTCCAAATTCTCCTTTTGAATCCGAATTGCGTCTTTTTTATGAACCTCTTTCGTAGTTTCGATAGCAGAGTCTCCAATAAGCCGGTTGAGGATATGAAGTGCTTTCAATTGATGACAGTTTTGAAGCCTTCGCTTTTTCACTCCATTTTCCCTTTAAGCGCAGACTTATTAGTGCAATAAACTTGATAAATCATGTCACTTAAAGGCAATGGGTGCAACGATTGGGAAGGAAAAAGTTGATCTGAAGGCTTTGTGGAACCGGGCCATCGAGAGGCTGGTCTGACCACTCCCACCAGTGGGTCTAGTGGGTTAGTCGGATCAGTTTAGCAAAGGCCCTTCTCTGATGACGTCTTCAAATCACCTGCGCCTCCTAGCCATCGTGTTTACTCTCTTGGCTGTCCATCGCTCGGTCAGGTAATGTGAAGTTATGACTCAACTCTGAAGCTGTTCTAAGCAACGCAAAGGAAAGGAGATCAACCTGGTCCGGATGACCTCTTTCAGAATCAGGGAGTACAGAGTGTCAACCGTCCGGTGAAGCTCTGATAGTATTTCCGTACTTAATTTCTGGGAGATGAGGGATCGTCTGGGGGACTAAGAGGGGGGGGGGCGAGTATTTGAGGTTTCTAGAGAAAGGTCGTGGTGATCGAAAAAATATGTTGAATAGATGGATATGGTAAGATCAAGTCTGGAAGCAGGTATAGGGTGTAACAAGTGGTATCAGCTTCGACTACCTCATCAATATCATCGTCTGCTGTAGGGGGTCGCATTGGTGGACACCCCACTTTGGGAGGGATCGTGAAGATTCTGAAATCAGCTCGTTGGGTGGTGAAGTAATACGGTTCTTTCGCACAGGAATAGGTTCCACCGTACACTGAGCCTCGTTGAAAAACCTTGTGTTTATACTCATTTGCGCGCTGCAGTGCTCGATAGTGCGCTCCAGTGCCAACGTGGATTACGGTGGGACTAATTCAACGTGCTGAGAAATCGTTATTGTGGGCTTTTGACCCTGAATGAACCAACAATTCTGTGGCAAAGGATTCGAAGCAAGAGCCTTAGCTGGCTGAAAACACACCTTACAGCGTGATTAACCCTTTTTCTGCCCCTTTCTCAAATTTCCCGTATCCGTTGAGAAATTTCAATTTTCAAGTGCTCGGCTCTAGAAAAATCCATAGGTAACCCAGCGCCGTGTTTTTTGAATAAAATATAAATAAAAAAGAAAAGAAAGAAAAAGATGACCTCAAATAAACAAATATAAATATACTCAGCGACGATTTTTCAGTATCCTTCCGGGAGCGGTGACGATGGTACCTCCAATGTACCGGGAGGCCCAGTAGGTGCAGGAAATGTGGATCCACAACCACGTGGTGGATCGCCGGGCCAGGGAAACAGCTTTGACAGGAGGTCAGCAAGTGTTTTTTTTACAGAATTTTTAAAAAAGTACCTTAAAAATTATTTTTGACATTTTTCCGTTCCAGCAATTCATCTCCATCATCACCTCAACGGAGTACCGTTAACGATACAGGAAATACCTCTCAAATTGCTAATCCAGGATTACATGGAAGTGGAGAAAAACCTTCTCCAGGCATGGATGCATTTCCCCATAATGAGCTGTTCAACGCGGGAAAACCGAATGGATTTCCTGAAGAAGGTCTTTTGACGTCTAAAGAATGGCCACTTGGAAGTGGCGAACCCAGTGGTAACCAGAACAGACAAAACTCGGGTCTGGGAAGAACTTCGAGTGGCACCGGGAAAAGTGCAACGAATGGCTTGTATGAGCACGAGGCCACTATTGGCAAAGGTTAGAATCTGCCTGTTTTATAGCTCATCATTTCATTTTCTTTTTTGTTTTGGTATTTCCTGTTCAGCTTCCTCAGAGAAGTCAATTGGAAAATTCGGCTCTCTGAAATGAGCTGTATACCTATACTCGTGCTCCGGGTCGCTGAATTCAAATCTGCTATAACTATATATTCCCTGAAATAAGTCATGAATCAGGAAAGCGCAGCGGTAGTCACATTGACTCACAGGCAAGAGCTCATGGGATCGTCTCCAGCGCGTGTCCAAATTTTGCTCTT